GCCCATTCCACAGAGCGGGAAACTGACGGCCATGGAGGTGAGGTCACCTGCCCACTGTCCCACAGCAGTGAAACCTGGATCTGAACCTGGGCAGGCCAGCTTCAGAACCCACGTGTGTAACATGTGTGAACCACACACTATGTCCTAAAACTGGAAGTGCAGGATTCTGGAGACACATATGTAGAGGGGTGGGCAAAAGTAGGTTCACAGCGTGAATGTGCAAAACATAGACTTTATCCTTGTACTATTATTTATTATTGTATTATTTATTTGTATTACAACTGTAAACCTACTTTTGCCCGCCTCTGTATATTTTCTAATATTCTAAGGAGGACCAGTTACATAGTTCGCAGGGCCCAATATGGGGTCCCCTGTTCCAGATGCTAAAGAATTTTAAGACAGTAATGGCAGAGCACTGAACAGAGTGGGGGCCCTCCTGAGTGTGGGGCCCCCCAGTGAAGCTGGCCCTGCCCTAAGATAAGCGGTGCCAAAGGCCCTATGGTTTGCTGACTCCGAAAAGCCATCAGCCCAGGTATTTCCTGGGCACCCTGGAGAGGCCTGGCGCTGCCCCAGGCACTGAGGCTCACGGCAGCGAGCAGGCCAGAAAAAAGGGGTCACCGTTCTTGTGGGGCTGACGTCCTAATGTGGGGACAGCCCACACAACAGAGCAAGTAAGTTAACCATGGGTCTTTCAGATGAGAAGTGTGGTAGACAAGATTAAGGCAGAGAAAGTCACGGAAAGGTTTGTGATTGTAGGTGTGTGTGTGATTTTAAATAGCATTTAAAAAAAGGCCTCAGTGAAAAAACGGCGTATCTGGACTAGGGAGGAGTGCTGTGCAGAGCGGATAAGTCTCAGTGGGAGAGAAGGCCCCAGGGGTCCCCAGAGAAGAGGGGGGCTTTGGGAAAAGGGGGAGAATGACGGCCCAGGCAGGTCGCAGGCTGCAGGTAGGAGGATGGACACAGAGGGTCTGAAACACTCTGCCCACCCCCAGCTTTCCCTGGACCTCTTCTACACGGAGGATGAAATCTACAAGCTTTCTTACGCCCGGGAGCCTCGCTGTTCCAAGAGTCTGGTGAGACCTGACCCCTGATCTCCGACCTGCAGCCCAGGCCTATACACTGACTAACTGTGCCCCTCTGTCCCTGCCCCAGCCACTCTCCCCCTTCAAAGCACCCCTGGTGGTGGAATGGGCCCCTGGTGTGACACCCAAGCCCGACAGGGCCACCCTGGGCCGGCACGTGGAGCAGCTGGTGGAGGTGAGGCGGAGACTGGCCTGGCTGCTGAGGGCCAGGCAGGAGGCTGTACAGACAGCCGGGAGGAGGGGGCCTGGGGCTGAGGGGAGCATGACTTGGCCCTACTCTCCCCTCCCCATGCTCCTCTGAAGTCTGTGTTCAAGAATTATGACCCCGAGGGCCGAGGAAGCATCTCTCTGGAGGACTTTGAGCGACTCTCAGGCAACTTCCCCTTTGCCTGTCATGGGCTCCACCCACCCCCCCGCCAGGGGTAAGTGCTTTGACTCTTGGGTCCCCCAAGGACGAGGATCCCAGGGTTGCCAGGACTCCAGGGTCTGGGAGAAAGGGGCCAGTCACGCTGAAGCAAGGTCTCTGCCCCCAGGAGTGGCTCCTTCAGCCGAGAGGAGCTGACAGACTACCTGCTCCGGGCCAGTGCCATCTGCTCCAAGTTGGGCCTGGCCTTCCTGCACACCTTCCACGAGGTCACCTTCCGCAAGCCCACCTTCTGTGACAGCTGCAGTGGTTTTGTGAGCACTTGGCCCACTCTCACCCTTGGGGCCCATGTTCCGAGTGTCCTAGCTCCTCCTGATCTGGGCTCAGACACCAGCCCTTTCCTGGAACACTCAGTCCCCAAGCCCCAAATAATCCCCAAATTCCAGAAAATCCTTCAGCCTCAAATAATCCCCACATTTCACATACGCCCTAAACATTTGGGTAGTTGCTACATCTGGGTAATTCCAAAATCTAACTAATACCCAAATCCCACATGATAACCTCCATCCTGGGTAATTGCCAAAGCATGGATAAACCCTAAAGTCCTATTTAATCTGTAAACCTGGGTAGATGATCTCCAGTCTATCACCAAGTCTCTAGACTCTGGGTGATTTCCAAATGTACCCTCTGGATAATGGAGAAATCTCTCAGTTTCCAAACAAAGGCTAATTTACAAACCTTGGACTTCCCAAATTTGCTTTTTGTTCACTAAATACTTGTTGAGCACCTCCTATGTGCCGACACGGTTCTAGGTTCAGAGGGTGTGTGTGTGTGGTGTGTGTGTGTGTATGTGTGTGTGTGAGAGAGAGAGAGAGATGGGGGTAGGGGAGGCACAGCAGGAAATGGAACAGACACAATCCTGCCCAAAGAATTCCAAATCTGACCCAATTCTAGTAACCTAGGTGACTCCCCAAACTTGAGAGAACCCTTACGTTCCGTCAACCTTCAGATCCCACATAAGCCTCCAGCAATGAGAATTTCCAAAACCCGGATGGTTTGCACACTTCCCAGGGGCCCCTGCCGCATCCACCCGCAGTCTCCCTCTCCTAGCCTCGGTAATCGGCAATCGGTAACCTGTTCTGCTTCCTCTTCCCAGCTCTGGGGTGTCACCAAGCAAGGCTACCGCTGTCGGGGTGAGTGGGCACCAGTGACGGGGGAGGGAAATTCAGGTCTTGCAACCTGGAAGAATGGGGTATGATCTGGGCCTTTGGCCCTTAACTGATGCTTTTCCCCAGATTGTGGGCTGTGTTGCCACAAACACTGCAGAGACCGAGTGAAGGAAGAGTGTAAGAGACCAGGGACCAAGGGAGATATGGGCCCCCCAGGAGCCCCCGTCCCGCCTGCACCAACACCCCATGCCAGCTGCGGTAAGACCCAGGGGGTGGCGGTCCTGGGAAGGGGCTTGGTGGACAGGAATAAACCCTAAGGTCAGGAAGCCCTTCCCATCACACCCACGTTCCTCCCTCCACGCCCCACAAACAGGCCCTGAGGACAGTCTTTCCTACACACTCTCCCTGGAACCTGAGGCGGGACACCCCCTGTGCCACGCCTGGACACAGACGGAGCCCCCACTCCCTTCCTGGGAACCAGAGACGGTGAGGAGGAACTGCCCCCAAGCCCATCTGGACACAGGGAGACCAATGCACGTGCCTGGGGAACCCAAACAGATTTGGGGGAGCACAGCAAAGTAAAAATGTGTAAAAGTCCTCAATTACTTGCGTAGGAGAGTGTAGATTCTGTTTAATTTTTAATGTTAGAAAAATAGAAATTTCAGTACGCTGAGGGAGAGAAGGGGTAGCCTCTAGTAGAACGGAAAAAGGATGTTAGGAAGAAAAAAAAAACTCAATAAGATGGCAAGAATATGACCAAATATATCGGGAGCTACAATAAATGTCAGTGAAATGAATTCCACTTTTCAAAGGCAGAGATCAGATTGGGTTAAAAAAAAAAAAAAAAAGGCTCACAGGGAACATTCAGTCACCCGCTTAACTAAATAGCCTGGTGAGGTGCTGCTCCTGGCAATGACATGTCTCCTGGACGCCCTCCCACATCACCCAACGTCTTCCTCCCTCCAGGTCCCCCTCCCAAGGACAGCCTCGCCACCCAGCCAGTCCTCCAAGCCGAACTCCTAGACATGGCCTTGGCCGCTTCTCTCCCTCCCTCCCCCAGAGCCAGGCCCCAGGTCGTGTTACTCAGCCTCCAGCAGAACTGCCAGCGGGATGGGATCGCCTCCTCTGTACCCTCACTGCCTTCAGGGAAGCGTCCACTGTCTCTTACCCCCAAAAGAAAGTTATGAAGGTTATTTTCTTTTGTACGTCAGAGTAGCTATGAATCATACTCCCTTTTCCTACACTTTGTATGCAGCTCTGTGTTGGATATATTTAAACTTAGGCATTATCTTACCAACTCCTTAAATCTCCCTTTTACGGATGAAGAAACCGAGGCTCGGTGAGGTTAAGCTGCTTAAGGTGGTAGGACTCAAACCCAAGTCTGTCTCCCTCTGAAACAGAAGCTTCAGACCGATGTGCTACGCTGGCCTGGCCGTCAGCGTGGGTCAGGAGTGGGAGGGGACAGGTTGGGAAGAGTTCCAAACTCTGGGCTTCCAGAGACAGAAGAGCAGGCTAGAGAAGGGGTGGAAAGGGAAGCCCGTGAACACCTGAGGCAGATCACACAGCTCCATTCCACTCAGGGTAGAGCCCAGAGTACTCGAGTGGTCCACCCCACGCCGTGTGCCCCTTACTGCCCACCTCCTGCCCCCTCACTCATCCTGCTTCAGGTACCCTGGCCCCTGAACATGCCAAAAATACTTTTACCTCAGGGCCTTTGCACTGGCCATTCTCTCCGCCTGAGAGTCCCACGTGACTCCCTCAGTGAGGCCGCCGCTCGCCACACTCAAAGTTGCAATCTTCCCACTGTCCCGATCCTACCTTCCTGCTTCATTTTCCTTCAAAGTCCTCTTCGCATCTGGCAAACTACACATTTTGCTTTTTTCCCTTGTTGAACATCTGCCCCTCCTCACCAGAAATGTCAGCTCCAGCAAGAGGGGTTTCCATTTGCCCCTTTCACTGCTTTCTCCCCGGCTGGCACATGGTGGGTACCTGATAAATGTTCGTTCGGTCCCCGCATGTCTCCTTCCCCAGCCCACAGGAAGGGCAAGATGTGTTGCTGAAGAGCAAAGGACTTTGAGGGTCAGAGCACCAGGTGCTTATTTAGACCCAAAGGACTGAGACCCCTCTTCCTCTTCAAATCCATGCACCCCCTAACCTGGCCCCCACACAGACAGGTCCTACAGCTGTTATAAATTAAATTTATTTTCCAGAGAACACAGTCCTTGGTGTTAAATAGTAGATGGGGATGGACACTGGGGGCCTCAGGAACATGGTAAGTGGGCCCTCATTGCCAGGTGCCAAGAAAACCCTCAGACTGGCTCCCCAGATATTATCAATGGTGTCAGCAACTCCTGGAGGACACCTGGCCCAGCCACCAGTCCTCCTTTATTTCTTCTTCTTCTTGCGGCCCCTGCACTGGCGGCCTGCCTTCCAACTGCCTCCATCCTCTCTTCTGCTTTGCCAGCTGGGCATGGGAGCCTCCAACTCATTTGGGCGGCCCCCTCGGTCTGGCACGTTGCCCATAAGCACCTGAGAGTTAATTAGATTTGAGTTTCAGAGAGGAAAAGTATCCTGGACAAGGGGACCAGAGAGCCAAGGGCACAGCTGGAGGTTAAAAAGGGCAGATTTCCAGTCAGGACAGCAGTGTAGGCAGACACGGCTCACCTCTTTGCACAACCACATCAGAATTACAACTAAAATATGGAACAACCATCGTGCAAGCTGTCAGAAATTGAGTTAAATGAAGTCTTGGCAACTGCAGAATTAAACTATTTGAAAAAATAATGAAAGAAAATTTCCCTAATTTGATGAAGGAAACAGACATGCAACTCCTGGAAGCAGAGAGGGTCCCAAACAAGATGGATGCAAACAGGCCCACTTGGACACATCATAATTAAAATGCCAAAGGTTAAAGATAAAGAGAGAATCTTAAAAGAAGCACGAGAAAAGCAGAGAGTTACCTACACAGGACGTCCCATAAAAGACTGTCAGCTGATATCTCAAAAGAAACTTTGCAGGTTACAAGGGACTGGCAAGAAATATTCAAAGTCATGAAAAGCAGGGACCTACAGTCAAGATTGCTCTACCCAGCAAAGCTATTGTTTAGAATCGAAGGACAGATAAAAAGCTTCCCAGACAAAAACTAAAGGAGTTCATCATCACTAAACCATTACTATATGAAATGTTAAAGGGACTTATTTAAAAAAAAAGAAAAAGATCAAAACTATGAACAATAAAGGGGCAGTAAATACAAATCTATCAACAATTGAATCTAATAATCAAACTAAGCAAACAAGAAGGACAGAGACAGAATCATTGATACAGAGAGCGTTTTGATGGTTGCCAGATGGGACAGGAGTGTGGGGGAATGGGTGAAGAGGTGGGGGGATTAAGAAGTACAAATAGGTAGTTACAGAACAGCCACAGGGATGTAAAGCACAGTATAGGAAATGGAACAGCCAAAGAACTTATATGCATGACCCATGGACATGAATGATGGTGGGCAGATTGCCTGAGGGAGTGGCAGGTGCTGGGTGGAGAGGGGCAGAGAGGAAAAAGATGGGACAACTGTAATAGCATAATCAATAAAATATAACCTTAAAAAATAAATGGGAGATATTAACTTTTTGGGTACAATGGGTAGGACCTGGACTGATGGAAGATACAGGCTTGAAGCTTTCAAACTGGGTTCCAGGGGCTTTTGCAAGAGGGAAGTAAAAGTGAGAGTGTTGCCAAAGGTCCAAGTCCTCACCAACAGTAACGAGGACTCTTCAATTTATGTCTATTTCATAGTTGGGCTTTGTATAACATTTCCAGAAAAATTAGTGTTTTTTCCTAAATATCCATCACTCGCAAGTGATACACACATCACCTATATTACTTCCTTAAAGCGATACATTTTTTCTTTAATTTTACTGCACTTTGCTGTGCTAGACTTTAATTCCCTAATGTTTTTTTCACATAAGTATAAGACTACTTAAACAGCAATGTATGAGTCCAAATATATAATCATTTAAAGAGGTATTTTGCTTTAAAAATGACTAGAAATTAATAAAATAGACAGGGTGCGTGTTGGTGGAGGAGGTGGGTGGGGGCTCAGTTGGACTTTGTTTTGAAGAGGCACTAGGGAGCCACAGGAAGGTTTTGAGCAGGTGGGGGGCAGGGTATGGCCAAACTTCTAAGTTCGAAATATCCTTCTCACTGCCATGTGGACAGGGTGGTTTAGAGGTGATGAGTCCAGAGGCCAGGAACCCAAGCAAAAGCGGACAAGGCTGAGCCAGGGTAGAGACTGAAAGGCCAGTCTGAAAGCCAAAAATGCTGGGGCCCTTCCCCTGCCAGGTGCCCACCTTGTTGATGGCGCAGCAGGTCCCTTGGCGGGCAGACTTGCTGGTGGCTGGGACAAGACGAGACAGGTCAGCTCGGGCAGCCAGGACGTGTGCGATAGAGACATCCGTTTCTGGGGTCAGAGCCTTTCGAATTGGGATCAGCACTGACTTTATGGCCTCCTCTTGGGCCTGGGGGGTGGGGGTTGAGAAGACATGGAGAAGGTGCCCAAGAGTCAGTCAAGAGATCTCTCATTTTGGAAACACTTTCTCACTTAGTTCCTCTAAATATGGGGTATACCTCTGATGACACTCCTAACTCAGAGCTGGGAATTCTAGAATGCCTTAGGCCCCTGAAATCTAGAATGTCCTGGAGGCCCTGATATTCTAGAGCCCCAGCTTCATAAGATTCTACAGCATCCTGGGCCTCAGAACCTGCAATAGGATAATATTCCTGACCCTAATTCCTCCTTCCTGCAGAGGTAAGCTCCCACCACTGGGCCTCTCTGCTCCTGCCAGAGACCTATGCCCACACCTTTGCCCGATCACTCCAGTGGAATGCAGATGTTGTGAGGTCCAGGCGCTTCAGGAGGAGGCAGCGGCGGCAGCAGTACTGACCTCCTAGGCTTTGACACAGAGACTCCAAGGCTTCCTGGGGGAAAAGGTCTTGGTTATGCCAGGGAGCCCTTCTCCCTCCCATCTCTGAATGAGAACATTATTTGCATACGGCCATACACAGTCTTACCCATCTGGGTGCGTCCAGCGGGTAGCTGAGGAGGGGCTGCAGGGACCCTGGGGGCAGGGAAGGCAGCAGCTCTAAGACCTGATGGGAGAAGGAGTCTGAGGCTGACTGGGCTGTAAGAAACTGTAAGAACTCTCTAAGCACCCCGGTTCTCCACAAAACTGAGGACCCAGGCCACGGAATCAAGAATGGCAGTCACAGCTCTAGAAAACAACAGTGGCTAAAGCGTTCTCCTCCCAGGGCCTCTTTTAGAGAAAGGGCTCTCCCCGTGCGAGGAAGGTGGGGCAAACCTGGTGCGGAGAAGGCTCTTGCTCTCTACCTTGGCATGGATATCCCGCAGCAGCTTGCTGGCGAGAGTACCCAGCGTGGGTCTGGGCAGCCCCAGGGCTTGGAGGGTTAGGACCAGTTCCTGAACCATGCCAGCTCCCTCCTCTGCCCCTTCCCCACCAGGCGGGGGCTCCGCTGGGCTGGGATCCCGCCGGGGACGCATGCAGAGGAGGCGGGAAGCCTGGAGCTCTGTGCAGAGAAAGCCTAAAAGTAGGAAAAGAATGAGGTGAAATCTAAGAGCCCCGTCAGACCACCCACCAGGGTCAAAAAGCTCCAGCAGCTTCGATACCTCCCGCTTTCTAGCTCCACGCAGCCACGACCCTAGCTCTAGCTCCAGAACAATCTCCACCCACTTCGAGACCCAACCCTCTTTTCGAATTCGAAACTCCCACCTAAAGACTACCTGCTAGGCTCCATCTAGCCCAACCCACTTGAGCTTCAAGACCGCCCAATCAAAATTCTAATCCCGCCCAGCTCAGCGCCCTAAACCCGCTCCAAAGTCCTAACCCCACCCAACACGGCCCCCGGGCCGGCCAGTACGTTTTGGCCACACCCCTTCGGGAAAACCCTGGCTCCACCTCAATGTGTTGAGTCCACCTCCCCTTCCCCTAGGCTCCAGAGACTGAAGCCCCGCCCACTTCCGCGTCCTGGGGTCCCCAGCTCACGCAGCAGGCGCAAGCACGCGCCCGGCTCCCGCAACGCGGTCGCACAGTCTCCGCCGCAGAGTGCGCGGTCCGGGCAGTGTAGCTCCTGTAGCAGGCCGGCCAACCGTCGCAGAAATTCCTCCTCAGCGCCGGACCCTGCGAGACGCGAAAGGCTTAAGGGTGCGGTGGCGGCACCCGGGCTCCCCACCGGTGGGCTGCCACTCCACACGCACCTTCGCCGGCGCTCAGCGCCTCCGCGTCCTCCTGTCGTTCCAAGACATCCAGAGTCGCCAGCTCAGCCGTCAGCCGCACGCACAGCTCCCTGAAGTCTGGGCACGATGGGCCCAGCGCCACAGATCCCAGAAAGTCCTCATACCTGCGGTGGCGCCGAGGGAACGACAGGGGACCGGGAAAGTCTTAAGAATTTCTGAGGGCAAACCGGCTTTTTCCAGCACTGCCCCCAGCCACACCCTGAACCCCTTACCCCAGGGCCAGCAGGTCCCGGGCCACAGCACCCCCCTCCTGGGCATCGGCCTCTGCCCCCTGCATGGTAACGACGCCTCTTCGCCAGGCGCGCGCCCCCTGCCGGTCAGCGAGACGCCCCACCCCTTGCGACCCTAGGCACAGCAACGTAACCGACCAATAGCCTCCTCTTGCGAAGGGCCTTTGGCGTTCCCATTGTTGCAGGAGGAGGCAGAGCCCGCCTCCAGGTCCGCCCGCGCCTGAACTTAGAGCACCGCCTTTTTTGGTAGCCAGTCAGGGCCCTAGAAAACCCTACAGACTCCGATGTTCCACAGTGTGAGTTCAGGATCCCCGCTGTTGCGAGACTCGCGGATGTCGCTCCTACTGCAACGAAGAAGTAACTTCGGTTTTCTCTTCCTCAGCCTGCCTCAGATACCCTCTGCTCTTAAAGCTCCCTCTACCAAGTGTTCTCCCAGCTCCACTTAAAATCTATGAACTCGTTTCTTCCTTCCCTATTTGGGGTTGGAGTTACGTCAGGGACCCAGAAAACCTAGCTAACCACTCACCATCCCCCACCCCGACCCCGTGCGCCCCGCGGGGGCCTCCTCATCGATCACAATGTGCCTGTTGGATCTTCACCACTCTGCTTCCCACGCCTTGGAGAGGTAATGATTGAGAGATTGCACCCTAGGAGTCAGACCAGCGAGGTTCAGGATCTGAATCTGCCTCTCACCACATGTGTCCCTGTCAAATTCCTTCCTATCCTATAATGGGGATAATAATACCTCTTAAAGAGTTGTGAGGGTTAGAGTCGTGTGTGTAAGTGCTTAGTAAACACATAAGTGGTACTCACTAATAACATATATTGAGCATTTCCTGTGTGTCGCTGGGCCAAATATCTTACCCCCATTTGCCTGAGTTTCAGAGAGGATAAGTCACACTGCATATGTGGTGATACCAGAACTCGAATTCAGATCTTGTTCTAAAGTCCAAGCTTTTTAACCACTTAACCTATACTACTGTTAGTACTGCTACTGTTTTGTTGCTGTTGTTAAAAATGTCCAAGATTTAATCTCTTACAACTCTTATTCTGGTCTCCAGTAGTTCCTAGATAATTCTGCTGGGAACCCGGGGTTGGGGGTAGGTGTTGAGTCTCAGGGAAGAGAAAGGCCAGAATTTTTTCCTCAAGGGTAGAGTATACCCTTAACCTGATTCCTCCTTAGGCCTGTCTACCCTAAGGCTGGGTACTCAGGAGGTCTTCAGGTGACCTTAATAAAACATTAGTCCCAGCTCGTGTGGATCAGTGGCTTTAGTGCCAGCCTACGAACTGGAAAATTGCTGGTTTGATTCCCGGTCAGGGCACATGCCTGGGTTTCTGGCCGGTCCCCAGTAGGGGGCATGTGAGAGGCAACCACACGTTGATGTTTCTCTCTTTCCCCCTCTCTTCCTCTCTCTCTAAAAGTAAATTTAAAAAAAAACATAAAAAATTACTCAAGCCAAAATTCTGGAGTCATAACCTTGACTTCTCTCTTATCAAACTTCTATCTGAACTTATGGAATCTACCTTCAAAACACTTCTTACCATCTCTACTGTTCTCAGCCTGGTTCTGGGCACCATTGTCTCTCCCAGGACCACCACAGTAGCCTCCTCCCTGTCTCCCTGCCCTCCCTCCCTCCCCAGTGCCTGTTCCCCACAGGCACTAGAGGGAACCTGTGAACACTTAAGCTAGCCCGCATCTGTCCCATATTCCGAGCCTTCCTGTAGCTCTGTCTCATTCAGGGTGAACACCAAAGTTTATGCAATGGCATGCAGGGTCCCACACATATGCCCTCATCTTGTAAGTACCCTCCTCCTTCCTCTCCTCCAGACACTCTGGCTCCCTTGATGTCCCTCAGACTTACCAGACATGCTGCTCCCTCGGGGTCTTTCACCAATTCTTCCCTTCACCTGCAAATCTCTTCCCACAGACATGCACAGGACTCCCTCGGGGCTTAATTCAAATGCTCTTCAGGGAGGTCTAATCTGACCACCCTGGCTAAAATAAACTTCATCCCTCATCTCCGCTTTTTCCTTATAGTGCATATTGTTTTAACATGTCATTTATTTGTCTCTTTCACTGTAAAGTTCGTTAACAACTTGTGGGAAATTATTTTTGTGTTCTGTTCATTGCTTTATCTACAGAGCCTAGAACAATGCTTGGCATATATGGGTATTCAAATGTACTTGATGGAATGCATAAACTCAGCTGGAGGGTCTGCTTGGGACAAGGATGGGCAGAAGACAATCGGGAAGACTGTTTTGGGGTCTCAGGGGCCTATGGACAGCAGAATTCATGGGGCAGCAGGTCTCAGGGAACATTAGTATAGAGAGGTCTGAGTCCCCGGATGAGTGGGTGGGGCACATCGGCACAAATAAAGAACACAGGCTGAGTCTTTGTCGAAGATATTTCTTGGAGCGAATATCTCATACCCTCTCCCCGGATGACAAAGCTGGGTCTTCAGCTCCCCCACCACTTCAATCTGCACTGACAATAACAATATTGAGGTCACAGACTGGCTTGGAATCAAGATCAGGAAGATAAATGTCAGGGTGCCTCCCCTAAGTCTGGAGGCCAAGTATCCAATCTGAGGAGCAAGCAGCTGGGAAATTGGGCTTGGGGGCTCCAGGGTCTGAGGTCTTCCTGGATCCCAGGGTCCGTTCTCCATACACCCTTGATTTGGGGGTGATGAAGAAAATTCATGGATCAGAGGTGGGTGTCTTCAGGGAGCAGGACTGGGAGACATGGGAGAGATGGTGCTGGGGGGCCCTTCCCCCAGCCCCCACCCCTCCATCTGCAGATCCCACAGCACCTTGCAGCACTCTGGTCCCCTGTCCCGCCCCTCCCCAAAACGAGGTAGGTTAAGAATGGAGCTTCCCCTGCCCACCACAGGAGACTGAGACACAGAGAGGGAATGAGGACCCAGGGTGCCCCAGCCCCCGATCCCTCTGCCCTCAGCTCTGGTGAGTCTGATGGGAGCTGGGCAGAGAGGGGATGGGAGGGACACTCCCCTTTTTTCTCACCTCTCCCCAGGCCTGGTTGGGAGAGCTGAATCTCACAGGTTTCAGATGTAATAGTTAACATTGCAAGGAAGTGACAGAAGGTTCTATCCATCCCTCTGGCCCCTTTGACCTATCCCTTGAACCTCTACAAACCCACCCAAGTATGAGTAATAAAGAAAGGTAAGTGCACATTTCCAGATACTTGGGACCAGATGCAGGTCCCAAGCCCACATCTTGCTCCAAGACTTTGACTCCTCTCCCCCCCACCCCATTCAGGACCTTAGCTTTGAGGGATCCTGGAAGTCCTATTCCAACCAAGGAAAAGAGACTGTGGAATCCCCTTCCCTTGAAGAGGGGTCTCAGAGGGCAGTGAAACAGGGAACACAGAGAGAGAAACAAGTGTGTGTGTACAACAGCAGCGCTATAGCTACCCCAAAATGTGCCTTTGTGCAACTTAGAAAAATGCACATCTTCCTCTAAGGGCACAGTGTGGCGTATATTCCAGCCCACTCACCACCTTGGCCCTGTGCCTTTGGTTAATGAACAGACTGCACAATCAACTAAGGCAATGTCGGGCGGTACAGATGGAAGTGGGGAAACGCTCATTGGTCCTGGAGTCCAACAGCATGAGCTCAAGAAGGTGAATTTTCCCAGGGGAAAGGGATAGTTCTGTGGGATGCTGGAGACATGGCTGGGACCCTGACTAGAATTCCAGAATCTGGAATCTTGGGGTCTCAGGGGCCAATGAACAGCAGAACTCAAGGGGCAGCAAGTCTCAGGGAATATCAGGTTAGAGGGGCTCGAGTCCCAAGAAATCAGATCTGAGGGTGCTAGGGTCCTGGAGCACCTCAGACCTGTCTCTGGTATGGAGGGCCCAAGGTCTTGGGTCAGGTATAATCCCAATGTTGTATAGGCTTGAGACATGAATTTGAAGGGTCAGTGGCACCTTGGGGTCTTGGATCCAGTGCTTCTAAAGCACCTTGGGGTCACCCAGGGACTGGGGACCAATGGGACAGAGGTCTGGGTTGTCATGAACATCCCATCTTCTGGGAGCTGGTCTTCCAGCTGTTAGGGGATTGGGGTTCTGTGGGCACCAAGAAGCCAAAGATTCCAGGACATTGTGGGGCTTGAAATGCAAGTCTAAGAGGGCTATCTGAGGATTCTGGGACCAGTGTCTTGAGCCCTGAGGTTTTGGTGGTCTTCAGTCCTAATCTGAAAGTACTAAATACATCAGCATCCTCTAGATGACACCCAAAGCTCTTGGGAACACTGGCGGCTTTGCGGGGGGTGGGGGTGGGGGTGGTGAGGGGAGTTAGGTCTAAAGTGGTCTTTGATCCCTGGCTTCCAGAGCACCTTGGTGTCTGATGTCTGGATGCGGGTGGTCAGAGATGGTTCTCCCAAGCCATTTTGGTCAGAGAACATCTGTTTGAGCATATCCAAGGACCCAGGTCATCTTAAGAGGGCTCAGTGTCTCAGGAGTCCTAGAGCTACAAGAATACCTCAGATATGGGTGCCTCAGGTTTTAGGTGAGTATTCAGAAACCATTTGTGGTTGTTCTACGTCCTGTGATTTCAAGATCTGGGAGCAACTGTACACGGGCAGGGTCAGGTATTGGCAACTCCTGACGAATTCTGGGGCTGTAATCTGAGGGTTCGGTCAGGGACCCGTGTGCTCCCAGGCCTGCCTGAGGTGTGAAGCTGGGGGATGCCTGGTGTCTCCTCAGTCTAGGCCATGGAGGGAGGGGGACAGCGGGATGAGGACTCCAGAACTCAGGATGCCTGGGACTTTTTGGGCAGATAGCCCAAAGAAGGTGGGCCTGGGCTCCCTCAATCCTAGATTTGGGGCCCAGGTTCCAGGTCTGGGGTCTCTCACTCCAAACTCGAGCTCCAAGTTCCCGGTGTGCCTAGGTTTAGGTTTTGGGTCCGAATGGAGTCCGGGGTCCCGGACCCTCAACTTTGGGTCCTCGTTCTGGAGACCGGACCCATCAGACCACCCTCACCGCGCAGCCTCCTCATGGCGACCCCCGCAGCCAGCGCAGCCGCACCGGGCCGCAACCCAGTGGCAGGCGCGCAGGGGTGCATAGCAGCAGAGGCAGGGCACCGCCAGGGAGAGTGCGGCCAGCGCAGCCCAGCGCGCAGCGGGACGTGGGTGGCCCGGCTCGCAGGCGCAAGGGTCCGAGAAGTCGCCCTCAGCGTCGGACAGGCAGTGGTAGAGCAAGCTCTCCGCGCACCACAGGCAGCTGAGACGGCGCACCAGCAAGCGACCTGGGTCTGGGGCCTCAGCGCAGCGACCACCACGCCCATCTGCTCTGCGGCGGAAGAGCGCTCGGCAGTGCACGCAGCGCGCTGCCTCCTCCGCCTCCGGGGACGCCTTGGCAGGAGCTGGGGGCACAGTCTCTGTGAGAGGGGCGGGTAGGGCGGCTGGGGGCCCCTGGGCTGCACCCCTCAATGCGCCAGTCTTGGCAAAGCGTACAACGCAGGTGGACAGGGTAAGGGGCGCGGGCAGCCCTGTGCGCCGATAGTCCTCATAGCCGCGGCCGCCCCAGCCAAGGCCCCCTGCCCCGCCCAGGGCCTCTGAGTGTTCCGGAATCTCCGTGAACGGTAAGAGCGGAGGGTAGCTCTGTGGGATGAAGGGACAGGAGAACCCGTTAGCGGGGTCTGTGATTCCCCCCACATCACACCACAATCCCAATCCATCCATCCCAGAAAACCTAAGAACCCAAAGACCCTGCCGCAGGCTTCATTCACGCGAGAATGACTTCCAAACACCTAGCCCTCTCATCTCGCAAGGACAGAGGAAATCTAGGGACAGAGAGAAGAATCCAGGCAATAAGCCCACATCTCAAGGACCTAGTTCAGGCCCCAGTCCCGTCCTCTCTCAAAATGCAGAAGTCCCAGCCCCCAGACTCCTCTACGCTCAGATCCAGTTCTGGACTGCTACCATCTCTTCCCTCAGAATGCAAGAGTCAGGTCACCAGATCCCTTTTATCCCCCGGGATGCGCAGCCCCATCTTGTCCCCAACCTCATAAATTAAGCAGTCCAGAGAACTTCACTGAGTACCAGCAACCCTCTAATATACTAGAACTCATTGTCCCAATCGTCTCCCAAACCCCTCTGGAAGTTAGAACTATCCAAAATCTCCGGGAGCGCAGGAGGCACTGGGGGTTCTCACCCAGCCCTTCGAGGAACCCAGGCCTACAGGCTCCCCCACTACCCCCCTCCCCCACCATTAATGCAGGCCAGCCATCCCTTAGGATGTTTGCAGTTTCTCCCCTCTCTGAAACCTCAGTTCCCGCCCACTCTGGGACCCAGACCCCGCGGGGGAGCCCGACTTCCGTAGAGGGTTGGAGGGCACACCTGAGCAGAGGGGCGTCGGCGCTGGGGGGGCGTGGCCAGCCCAAAGCCAGAAGCTGACTCTGCGATGATGACCGTGGGGGCCGCAGCTGCAGCGGTGGTGGGAGGTGTCTCCTGGCGGCTGTGACCGGAGGAGTCGCTGTCCACGTGGGACTGGAGGAGATTGGCGGCCTCAGAGCTGGACCAGCCCAGCCCAGCAGATGCCCTCACATAGACCCCCTCCCATATCACGTGAGGGCTCTGGGGCCAGACAGGCCTGGATTCAAACTCCAGCTCTGCCTCTGACTGTTTGTATGGCCTCCGGCAAGTGAGCTTATTTCTTCGAGCCTCAGTTTCCTCCTCTGTACAATGGGGATCACAATGTCTACTCATAAGGCTGTGGTTAGGACCCACTGTAAAGGGTTAACACATGCCTGAAGTTTAGGAAGACCTGGAAATGGTCATTGTTACTATTATTTGACCCTCCCCTCTCCCCTTATCTGCTCAGCTCACCAACCTACAGAACAGCAAATCATGCCTATCCCTTCTCAGAAGGCCTCTCCCTTGGCCAGTCAGCTGCCTTCCTGCCTCATGCCCGCCACCGCACCTTTTTGGGGGCAGAGTCACCCACCTGGAATGTGTTCCTTCCCATCGGGACCAAGCTCAGTCCTTTACAGGGTGAAACACCATTTCTCAGACCCTCAGTTTCCTTTCTGTAACTTGGGAATCATTCCTACCTCACCGGTTTACTATCTGCATTAGCCATTCATTGAGCACCCATGACGTGCCAGGCTCACAAAGGCTGTTGTGAGGATGTGAGATGGAGTGTGGAAGTCGTGGCGTCTTTTCCGAGGAAGGGCTCCATCATCGAGAACTGTCTCTGTGACTTTTGTAGACCCACCTGCATCTCCCATTACCCTGTGTCCCCCCTGGTCTGCACAGGGCACCAGTGTGGTTCCTCAGTGCTCTCAGGCAACCCCCACTGCCCCCAGAGAGTGCCAAATCGCATTGGACATTCTGTGCATTTATTGATTCAAGAAATTTATTCAACATATCTTTACTGAACACTTACTGTATACCTACCAGCCCTGTTTTAAGCCTTGGAGATGCAGCAAGAAAGCAACAAAAGAGCCTTGCCCTCCAGGAGCTGACATTCTAGCACAGGAGAATGAGAATAAAACCAGTAGACAAGAAAACTGTCCAGTGGGAAAGAAAGGAAGGAATCTTAGAAGCTGGGAAAATATTAGAACAGGATAAGAAGCATTAGGAGATTGCAATTTTAAACAAGTTCCTCAGGGAGGGCCTCAGGGAAAAGGTGACGTGTGTAAAGCCCTTCAGGATAGGATATGAGGGACCCTGAAGGATAGGGTATGAGGAAATGAGCCATGTGCAAATTGGGGGAGAAGGCTGTTCCAAGGCAGAAGGACCAGCCAGTGCAAAAGCCCTGAGATAGTATTGTGCCTACCCTTTGGAGTAACAGTGAGGCGGTCAGTGTGGCTAAAGCACAGTAAGAAAGAGGGAGAATAGAGGGGGCCGGATGGTGTGGGATCTCCGCACCACTGAAAGGACTTTGTCCTTACAAAGTCAGATGGAGCCCTGGCAGGGCTCTCAGTGGCGGATGGCCACGATCTGACTCAGATGTCAACAGGGTCACTCTGGCTGTGTGTGGGAAGAGGGAGCAGGAGATGGGGTGTGTGTGTGGGGGGTTGACAATGAGAAGCTGGTGGGATGGTCTAGTTGGTGGAGAGAGAGTCTGACCATTTTGAAAGTGAAGCCAATATTTGCTGACAGAGTAGATGAGGGGAATAAACAAAGAGAGAAGTCAAGGATGACTCCAAGGTGCACATCCTGAGAAAATTAAAAGGATGACTTGTCATTAACTTGTTCATCCATTTACTTAAAAAATAAAAAGATTTTATTATTTATTTTTAGAGAGAGGAGAAGAGAGGGAGAAAGAGAGAGAGAGAAACATCAATGTGTGAAAGATAAATCGATTGGTTGCCTTTCCCACACCCCCAACCAGGACCTGGCCTGCAACTCAGGCATGTGCCCTGACTGGAAATCAAACAGGCAACCTTTCCATTCGCAGGCTGGCACTTAATCCACTGAGCCACACCAGCCAGGACAATTTATTTTTAATATATATTCAGTTTTGCAGTTTGCCTTTCTTTAATTTTTTTCTGCCTTTCCACACTAGAAGAGAAGCTCCATGAGGAAAGGGACTTTGTTTTGCTCACTGATGTATCCCCAGTGCCTAAAACACTACTTATTGAAGGTCTTCAGTAAATACTCTTGAATATGAATGTGTGAACGCATTCTATCATGATAGAACAGAAACTACAATAACTGGGATTGAATTGACCTGATAGTTTGGACAAAAATTTCTGTCCCCAGCATATGATATGGTGCCTGATACACAGTAGGTGCTCAAGAATATTTGTAGAATAGAAATAAACCCCTGCCCTTCCAGCAGAGCTGGTCCTGAAGACTCACCGTCAGAGGGCAGGGGGTCTCAGCAGTGTCCTGGGAAGGGGAAGAGGAGGAGGAGGAGGAGGAGGGGGTGAGCGAGCCTGGGGCAGGGAGAGAGGCAGACTGTGAGTTATGTGGACCGCAGGTTCTCCCACCCTTCCGCCCTGGCCCCCCACCACCTGCACCACTAACCTTGACCCAGTGCGGCCAGTGCAGTCAGCAGGCTCTTCTGGAACTCATCAGCCTCTGCAGGACTCTGAAATGTCAGCCCAAACTTGCAGTCACCCAGGCTCCAGTGATGAAAGATGGGGTTCACCTTGTTGTAAACCAAGCCTGGCCTCAGGGGACACTCCAAGGTGGTCTGAGGGGCAGGAGGGAGTCAGGTCAGACACCCCCACACAGCCACGCCTGGGACTTCTCTACCCCCAGCCTCTCTGCATACCCCAGCATCCCACAAACCTCATTTCTCAACCCTAGATATACCCCTGAACCCTGACCAATACCACCCTGCAATTTTATTGAGCACATATCTGATACTCCAATATTCTCCAAACTCCTTAATCCCTACATTTTCCAATACACCCGCCCCAATATTCCAATAGGAATCTCAAATCTTCTTGAATGCCTCAACAAATTCATTAGCCCTCTTCTGATAACCCAATATTCTACCTTCTGGCTCAACAGTACTCCCCAAACTTTATTTATTTATTTTTTTTTTTAAACAATTTTCAAACAATTTTCAGGTTTTTATTTTATTTTTTTTTAATATTTTATTATTTATTTATCTTTAGAGGGGAAGTGGGGGAAGGAGAGAGGGAGAGAAACATCAATGTATGGTTGCCTTTTGTGCGTCCCCTGCTGGGAACTGGCCTGCAGGGAACCGGCCTGCAACCCAGGCATGTGCCCTGACTGGGAATCGAACCGCGATCGTGTGGTTCGCAGGCCCGCGCTCAATCCACTGAGCTACACCAGCCAGGGCTCCCAAACTTTATTAAACACCTCAAAATATTAGTGTTAATCCCCTCTCAGTGCCCCAATAGTCTCCCAAAATGCTAGCCCCCAAATTCTTATCAAACTCCCAAAGATTTCCCCACGTAATGCTCAACATCCTAGACGTTCCCTCATATCTTTGCCCAACGTCATTATACTCCTTCACATCACTTCAAACCCCGATGCATTGTTCCTTCTGACCCCTGCTCTAAAATGCGACCTTTCCCCCAAGACTTTGTAAACCATCCAGATCTTTCTACTACACTCCTAGCTGAAACTTCAACAGTGTCCGTCCAAAGTGTGCCAGACAGCCCAGAATATTCCTGCTGAACCCAAATATAGGATTGACATGTCCAGATGGTCCCCTACTGAATGCCTCTATATACTTAAAGCAGGCAGGGGCCAGGAGTGTAGGGCCTCGTGGTGAGGATCTCTGAAGAGACGGAGCCATGAGAGGCTCTAGGCAGAGAAGGATATGATCTGACAGGTGTTAGCAGAGCCCGTATAGAACACACCGAGGTGAGGGAGGGAGCAGGGCGAGGAGGGCAGTGAGGAGGCTGCTGTGACAGTCTCAGGGATGACGGCAGTGGACAGGACTTTCTTAAAACCGCAAACGTTCCTGAAACTCCCAACGCTTATCTATAGGACAGATACTCACTTCTAAACTCCATCCCACGCCCAGGTCTGATTCCCGGGCTTGGACTTGATCTGACCTCGCCTTGGCACTCCCAGCCCCATTTCCCTATTTCCCCATGCTCCCACCCTACTCCCACACCCCACAGTGGCTCACTTTCTGGTCTCGGAGTCGCTCCCCGTGGATGACGTAGTGCCCCTGGCGGGCCCCCCCCTCGGGCCTGGCCCCTCGGACCCGACATACGCTCACCTGGCTGAGGCCCCCGCCCCCCACAGGCAGCCAGCCCCCACTGGAGTCATCTCGGGCCATCACCACAGCTCGGACCCGAACCATGTACCTGGAGGTGGGGGGAAAGGGCATGGTCAGTGAGTTCCAGTCCTGTTCTCCCATTCGGTGTTTCCCCAGCCCTCGTCTCCCATCTCCTCTCACATCTGGACCCACACCAGGCTTCACCACTGATACTCAGCTTACCTTCCATTCCCACCTTCTCCCCTATTTCCTCCTTCTCTCCCCATGCCCTTCTCCCAGCATGGCTTCTTTCTTCCTCATGCCACCTCTTTTCTCCTATGCCTACCTTTTCCAGTCTACCTTTTCTCTCCATACCCCCTTCTTCCTTCCCTTTCCCCATCTTTCCCATCCGTACCACACGGCCTCGGCTTCCCACTTCCCTTCTCCTTCCTGCTCATCCCCTCTCAATCCCATCTCCTTCTCCGTTCTCTCCTCTCCTTCTTATACCCACAGCCCCACCCATCCTTCCCCCTCACAGCTGGGTGCCTGCGCATATGTATTTTCTTACAGCCCATCAATTCAGCTCCAGTCCCCCTTACACTGCCTCTGCACCTTGCCACCCAGGCCACTGGCTGGGTGAGAAACCCGGGCTCTCTTTCCCCCACTCCTTCCCGGATTTATGAATGAGACCGGATGCAAAGCTCACTGAGTCACCCAGTAACAGGAGATGGTCGGGGAGAGAACCAGAAATGGCCAGAGAGAGGCCGAAAGGGCGACGGAGGCCGGGGAAGCCAGAAACCAGCGATCTGGACACAGCCAGAGAGCATTTCATTCACAAAAACCCAAACCGTCCCCTCGGGCCCCAGATGAGGGAAGGCAAAGCAGAGATTGACCAGGGGAGGGGGAGATTTGACCCCTCCTCTTCCCCGCCCCAGCATCCTTCAAAACCACTTTACCCCGCCCCCAGCTTAGGAGACGTAGCCCTCCGCCCAGTAATCGGGATCACTGTCCAACTCACTACCACCCAGCGCAGGGACCCGGGCGCCCCAGACTTAAGGGCCCATGCTACGAGCTCTAGCCCTTTCCCCCACTTGCAGACTGCCAGGTTTCCCCAGCCCTTCGGTAGAGGAAGGGGTGGCCGCAGCGCCCCCAGCCCCCTTTTCTCAATGGGATGAGATTTTGTGAATGAGCAGTCACGTGACTCTGCTTCCTTTGTCCGCCCGCCTCCCCCGACAACAGGTGAAGCACAGAAAAAGGGCAGGGATCCCCCGCAGGGCCTAGCTGGGCTAGGACGCCGGGATTTCTGGGTGTCCTACACTCCCCACACGTTTCCCGGGGGGAGTGGTCCCCACGGTTTCTCAAAGGTGGGGGTCCTGTATTAAATTTTATGAATGGAGCGTCCTCGGAGGAAGTCCAGGCCCCCCAAATGGAGACTGGTCCCCCAAATGGCTGCTGTGCAGTTTAGGGCCCCCACTCTCTTGCCCTTCCATCCGGGACCTGGGGAGCGCCCGGGTGGGCAGGAGGCGCAACGCGGTCCTGTCCGCCCCCACACCGGGACAGATCTGTCAGCCCCCGCCCACTCGACCCCCGAGGCACCTGCCTGGGAGGCTCCGGCCGGGCTCCGAGCTGCGGCGACGTGGCCTCCTCCTCCTCCTCCTCCTTCTCCTCCTGTTTGCTCAGGCTCCCTCGCTGGCTCCGGCGGCGCTAGAGACGGGCTCCGGGAGCCGGGGCAAGGGGGGGAGAGAGGGGGAGCCTGGAAGATGGGTGGGGGGAGGGGGCGGCTTGGGGGAGGTGTAAACTCGAGGCGGGCTTACTTGCCTGCTGGGTCCTAGAGCCCGGCATCATCTGCCATGAACAGCCCCCCAGCCCCCATTTTCTCAGGACCCAGAGAGAATCCCCTACTTTTCCACTCATCTGCACCATTGGTCCCTGAGGATATGGGGGAAGGGGTCCGGTACATTGCCTGGTCTCAGTGTTCTTAAGAGGCAAGGGTCTACGCTTCGGGTTCTAAATGGAAGGGGCTAAAATGCCTGGCAATATTTGAAACGGGTGGGGCGAGAAGGGAGCGAGTATTTGCAAGGGGGCGGGGTCAGAGGCCCCAAGAAAAGGGAGACTGAGGGCGCCAAAGACACAAGTGAATGCGTCATGGAGGGGGCGGAGGGGAGGGGGCGGGCCCACGGTGGGTGGGCCTTCTGGACAGGTGGAGGAGAGGGTCCTGGGAGTTTAGAAATAAATTGCTTCACGGGCGGGGCACCTGAGATCCAAGAGGGAGGAGCCACGTAGCAGTGTTCCTAACGGGAGGGGCTTTGGGAAAGAGACTACCAGAGGGGCGGGGCATTGTAAAGGGGAGGGGCAAGGGAGAATGTTCTAAAGGGGTGGGGCAAAGAACTCCGAGGACTGGGGGCGGGGAAGGAGACTCCCAAGTATTTCAGAGGGAGATCCAGGTTCGTAAGGGGCCGGGCTCAGCTGTCTAACTGGAGGGCGTGGCCTCGAGGCCAGAGGCGGGGCCTAGACCTCGGGGTATGCCCTCGCTGTCTCGCCCACTTGCCTTCACCCGCACCCCCGTTCTTTTCAGTTATTTTCTGCTACGGCCGTTCCCTGCCCTGCCCTGGGCCCAGGGGCCACTGTCTGGACTTTAGTGGGCAGGAGGAATCGGTGAGTGGGAGCCTTTGGGCGAAGGAGGAGCCAAGGGCAGAGCTTGGGGAACGGGGTGTGGCCATATGTTGAGGCCACCTGCTGGATCCGCAGGGGGAAGAGAAGTTTGAGTGAGGCCTGAAGATCTGGCGCTACCTGGGTAGAAGGCGGGCCTCAAGTGATCGACAGAGAGAGATGGGAGGGTTAAAGGTGAGGGCTGATGGCTTAGCAGGACAACTCCTGTGATTTGTTAGGCCAAGGCAAGGCCAGACCTGGGTAGGTGTGGAGGAGGCCCCATTCCCTGACAACCGGGGGGTGGGACCACAGAGTAGGGGTGGGGCTAGAGTGCCTGGAGAGAAGCTTGAACTCCCCTATTCAGAGTGATGTGACCCCGCGTGACAGGAAAGCAGGCAAGATCTATGTCTTGGAGCCTGGAGATCTGGGATGTGACCAAAGTGTAGATGTGATCTGAGGGACCAGCCAGGGAGAACCTTAGTAAACTAAGGGGATGGAGCCTGTGTCTGAACAGCAGCTGTATGGGGCCATGGGGAAGGTGTGAACGCCAAGAGTCAGGGAACGTGAATGCAGCTAGAGACGGGTCCCTGAGTCGATCTTGGAGGACACGTGAGGAACAAGTACAGACAGCCACATCAGGTCCCCACAGACCTAGCAGCCTGACTGGCATTAGTTTTTCTGACCACAGTCCCCGACCTCCGTCAGAAATGGGGAACGTGCAGTCGGAGCCGTCCGCGGGCGGGGGCTCCCGGAAAGAGCAGGCCTCGGACCGCTCCTCTGAGTCCCGCCGGAAGTCCTTGGCGGAGCCCGAGGTGACCCCCTCCTCCCCTGCCAGACGCCTGGCTCGCGGGCTGGGCGTTTGGTTCCCTGGCAGCTCAGCGCCCCCGGGACTCCTCGTACCCCCAGAGCCCCAGGCCTCACCCTCGCCCCTGCCCTTAGAGCTGCCCTCGCCAGTGACGCCCCCTTCAGAGGAGGTGGCTGTGGCTGTGGCTGCAGTCTCCACACCACCCCCACCCCCGGTGGGGACCTTGCTGCCCGCGCCGTCTAAGTGGAGAAAGCCCACGGGCACTCCGGTACCCCGGATACGCGGTCTGCTGGAGGCAAGCCATCGCGGCCAGGGCGACCCTCCAAGCCTCCGCCCGCTGCCGCCACCGGCCCTGCCACAAACCGAAGAGGACTCTGACCCTGTCTCGAGGGCCCCATCCCCGACCCCGCCACCCTTGGAGCCCCCAAAGCCTCTGCCTTTCGATCGACAACCCTCAGACAGCAGAATCAGTCCTCCTCTGACTACACCCACCGAACCCCCCACAGCAAGCCAGGTCCGGCGCGACAGCGAGCGCCAAACTGCCGGCGGGGCCTGCGGAGGGGCGCTTCCTCAAGGAGGCGAGGGTGAAATGGCCCAGCCTGCGGCCTCCGAGTCCGGCTTGAGTCTGCTGTGTCAAGTCACCTTCAAGTCAGGGCCCCCTTTGCCCCCTGCGGCAGGCTCGAGTTCCTTGGTCGCCAAAGTCTCGCTCGGTGGCGGTGGAGGCAGGGGACTCTTCACCGCGGCCTCGGGCGCCATCTCTTATGCCGAGGTCCTGAAGCAAGGGCCCCTGGCTCCTGGGGTTGCTCGCCCCCAAGGAGAGGTCCCTCGGGGGACCCAGGAAGTGGAGGGTGGTAATGGAGACAGCGAGGGGTGCTCTGGGCCCTCCTCGGCACCTGCATCCTACGCCCGGGCTCTTCCGCCACCACCCTACACCACCTTCCCAGGCTCAAAGCCCAAATTTGACTGGGTGAATCCTCCAGACGGTCCTGAACGCCACTTCCGCTTCAACGGGGCTAGCGGAGGCATCGGGGCCCCCAGACGGCGCGCAGCCCCGTTCTCAGGCCCCTGGGGCTCCCCACCGCCTCCGCTAGGGCAGATACATCCAGCTCCGGGGCCCAGGAGGCCCGCACCCGCCGTGCTGGCGCCACCTATGTTCATCTTTCCAGCGCCCACCAATGGCGAGCCCGTGCGCCCCGGGCCTCCCGGCCCACTGGAGTTGCAGCCGCCTCCGCCGCCACCCACGCCACCTCCAGCGCCGCCGCCCATACCACAGCCACCAGTAATCCAGCCAACACCACAGCTTGCAGCGCTCCCGCCCACCCCAGGCTCAGGCCACTTGGAGTCCCCCGAGGATCCCGCCCCTGCCCCCACCCCAGCCCTTGCCTTAGCTGAAGACCAGGCCCCAGTCCCACCCCTGCCAGCTCCAGCTCTTAAGGCCGAACAGTCGCAGCGCACGCCCCCGCCCATCAAATCCCGCAATCGCAGAAATAAGGGCCCCCGTGCTGCTCGGGGCACGACCTGTGAGGATAGCGCTCCTGGAGAGGGTGCTCGCGAACGGACGGCAGCCACCACGACTGACAGTAGCAGTGGTGGGGCTCCGCCAGCAGGAACGACTACCACTGGTGCCCGGCGCCACTGGCCACCCTTCCAGGTGCTTAACTCTTGTCCTTGCAAGTGTTACTGCCGCCACCAGCAACGCCATCGCCGCCTGCCACGCAACGTGTCTGCCTGGTGAGGGGAGGTGGAGGGTTGGGGTGGGGGGATATACTCCTAAACTCCCAACCCAGCTGCAGTGGATAGAGCCCCATTCAACCCTTTCCCTCAAGACCTCTGGCGACCCTCGACCTTTCCCTTGGCTGCATTTCAAATCCACCCACGCCCCGACAGGAAACACCTTAGCCCAGATCCTTGTTATCCAGACCTCCAAGCTGACCCCGGGCTCTCACTACTTTTGTCACTCTGGAGCCATCAAGGAGGGAAGGTGGTCCCAGCTGACTCTTCAGAGGCTCTACTGGCACCGTCCCCAAGAGCACCAAGAGGGACCATGTTCCAAGCCCTTCAGGAATGGGAGTGGAGATGTCTGTCCCCTAAACCAAATTAATATAAATGTAGGACTCCAAAGGCGGCCTTAGGTCTAGCCCCAGACTCCTACCCCTCCCTCCTGCCTAGGGCAACTTTTGACTCTGGGACCCAAGGTTTTAAACACCAGAGGGCACTGATGCCCAGTCCTTGCACAACAAACTACTTCAATCTTCAAATCCAGGGGAGATAACTACATCAGCAAATTACCCCTTATACTGAAATTCAGGATTCATCAATCAGTCTGACCCTGTCTCCTGAGAATTCTGAATCCTTAGGAGACCCTCTAGCCTGGACCCTCGAAGCTCAGCTGGGAAGGGGCAGTGAAGGGGAGGGAATGTTACACCATCACCAACCCTCAGCCCCTTTTTCTTAGTTTAGATATAGCCTGATCCTGGCCTGCCTATGGGATATTTAGACATGGTTCCTCATGCAGATGAAGAAAGTGAAGCCCCAAAGGGGTAAGGGCCCGACCACACAGCCAGACCCTGCTGACTCTACCTTCATTCTAGGCTGAGCACACCCACCAACCACCTGAGTGAGCCATCCTGGGTTGCCACCATCAAGTTGGCTGGCTCCCTAGTAGCTGGGCTGGAGCACTTCGACTTGCAGGCCACCCATTCCAACTGAGTGCAGTCTGTTCAATGCCACTATCCTTCCCTTCTAGACAATAAAATAACCAACCATCCAGATGCCTTGCTGCTTGTCAAGTCATGTGCTAAGGAATGAAGGCGTGGGGTGGGGAAGGGCAGAAGTCTCCATGCAGAACTACATCCTATAAACAGGAAATTGGCCCTGGCTGGTGTGGCTCAGTGCATTGAGTGCCAGCCTGCAAACCAAAGGGTCACCAGTTCAGTTCCCAATCAGGGCACATGCCTGGTTGCAGACCAGGCCCCTAGTAGGTGGCGAGCCAGAGGCAACCACACATTGGTTTCTCTCCCTTTCTCCCTCCCTTCCCCTCCAAAAATCTTTAAAAAAATAAAGGAAGTTGGACCTAGAACAACAGTAATGGAGATTCCATTCATCCACCATCCAGACCAATGGGCCTCAGGATGAGATGATCTCATTCCCCTTAATACCATCAGCCCCATTTCTGAGCTTACCTCTTGCTAAGCTCAAGGGTTCAACAAGGGTTCAACAAAAATCACTCTGGAAAGGAGTGATTATTCCCATTTTGGGGGAATATCTGGGGGAAACTTGACTCTGGAAGATTTGAAAATCCCACAATTGACTCAGCCAGATTTGGACTCTCTTTTAAGTACCTCAATTATTTCAAGGCAGGAAACAGGCTGGGGGATGTGGGAAGTCCTCAAGTCACAGCACTGGCTCACAAAGGGTGGGAACCAAGGCAAGCCCATGCCTTTTGTTCCAAGAGGTCTCAAACTGGTAGCCCACACAAGTTCCATTTTGCTTGGTATTGAAACAAAACTGGTTTAATTCATTGCAAACATTTTTAAAATTGGGACATTTTATCCCCCTTCCCAAAAAACTCTGGTGCCTTGGCCTGGCCCTCCTGTGTCCACAGCTGGGTATAACAGTCCCTTTACCCTTGTGCTCCTCCAAACCACAGTGCCATGCGTTTGATAGGCCACGGGACAGAGGCTACCCCTAGAGGGCCCTGGCAGTTTTAAGTTCTTCAGAGATAAGAACTTGTCTCCCCACCACTCCACCCCTGAAGACAAGGGCCTAGGAGGCAGAATGCCCATCCAGCTTTATTGGAGGAAACCCTGCACTACAACTGCTTTCAATAATGCAAGCCCTGCCCCACCCCAGTGCCTGCTGGGCTCAGACGATCATCTCCAGCTGCCGGGCATACTCGATGACCTGTTTGGCCAGCTCTGTGGAGGGGATGGTAGTATCTTCTGGCTTCTGCTGCTGGCTGGCAAAGCTGTAGTAGTTGTTGAGGCCCAGGACCCACCCTCGCTGCAGAAAGGGAGGAATGAGAGATGGATGGGGTGATCACACAGGCTCCCTCACCACCCCAGAGCCAGCACTTACCCATGCAGACCCTAGCTTGCTTTCCTCACCATTCCTCATCTACCTGCACAACTCTAGGCAAGTTAACTCCACCTCTCTGTGCCTCAGTTTCTCCATCTTTGTGAATGGGCCTAATCACACTCCTCTCCAGGTCTGCTATGAGAATTTAATCAACACTTGTAAAGTGCTGAGAACAATGTTTGATTCAGATTAAACAATCACTAAATATCAGTTGTCACTGCCATTCAAGTTCAGTTTCACCTCTTCCAGCCTGGTACTGACCCTCAGTCACTAGGGTCATTGCACCCCATTTACCAGCATGTCTAGGGGCACTGCTTCTGCACAAATACCCCTGACCAAATGAAGCAAAGTCGTGTGGATAAAAACCTGCATCCTCCAAGGAATTCGAAGGTCAACAGCCAACAGGTGCCAGTTATCCACCTCCCCCTTGCTCCCAGTGTTGTGCTAAGCTCATCCCACATGCTAAATTCTAGCCCCACTCTACAGATAGGGAAACTGAAGCTCAGAGAAGTTCTGTGGCTTGCCTGAGGTCACACAGCTGGATTTTTTAACCTGGGCAGTCTTACTCCAGTGTCCTTCTAGGCTACCCTCAATGCTATCAGTGGGTGCACCCATTGGCCCCATAACCCCTTGCACCCTAGCCACCTTCTTGGCGTAGTCTGTCATCTTTTTGGGTGTGTTGAAGAAGAGGATCCGGGTGGCCTCAGTGAAGAGGATTTTCTCATAAGCCTTCTCGATGCATCCAGCAATCTCATCTCTGGGGGAAGAATGAGGTTCTCGCTATTGAGTACATACAGCAAGCACTCCGGGCCTTGTCCCCACTGGTTTGACATGCATTAACTCTGACCATTCAGTTCGGTACTGACTACTGAAGTATGTTTGTTACCTGTCCTGTTTAACTAATGGGAGAGAGGGAGGGTCTTAACCAAAGTTGCACCCAGGGTCACGCCCAGGTCTCTCTAGCTCCCCTGTCCAAACTCAGAATGCCATTCCTAGGCACAAGGACTTCAGGCTATCTGAAAGCCAGGCTGGGATATCTGTGAAGGGAATTACATAACACCGCCCCACACAAGGGTGCTATATTCCATTTCTAGATCCAATCCCAAGGGGGTTCCTTGCACTCCTGCCAGGAGGCATCATGATCAACACTATGTAGAAAAACAGCAAGGCATGGAGTCACTGAAATGGAAAAGGGGAGTGGCTCTGAGGAGAAAATAACAGGGAAAATGCATCTGTTTCTGAGGTACTTTATCTCTTTGACCAAGTAGTAAATGTGACGGCATTCATTTTTTTACTCCATGTTGATTTTGGAGTCAAAATATTTCATAATTAAAAATAACCTGGCCCTGGCTGGTGTAGCTCAGTGAATTGAGTGTGGGCCTGCGAACCAGACAATCGCGGTTCGATTCCCAGTCAGGGCACATGCCTGGTTGCAGGCTGGTTTCCTGCAGGCCAGTTCCCAGCAGGGGATGCACAAAAGGCAACCGTACATTGATGTTTCTCTCTCTCTCTCCTTCCCCCCCTTCCCCTCTAAAGATAAATAAATAAAAAAATATTAAAAAAAAAAATAACCTAAACCTGCCAAACTATCCTCCTCACTCCCACCACCTCTCTGGGCTTGGCTTTGCCACCCAAGGAGTAAAAACCCATCTCAATCTGGCTTCTGCCACCACCTGGACAACCTTTAACTCCTCACGAGACTTTTAAATGTCATGCCCACTTGTCTGTGTGATGTCACTTATGCAGAGAGCAATTGGAGGGGCTAGGGAGACTTGAGGGTCCCTATGTAAAGAAAGGGAAACTAAGTAAGGGCTCTACAGTTTAGGTGACCTGAGGTGAGGTCCCATGACTCGTGGAACACTTCTACGAGAGGCAGCATGGTCCTGTTTGCTGACCACTGCCTGGGTGCTGAATCCATGCTCTGTGTCTGACACACATGGGTACACTCGTAAATAGCCCAGAGGAGAGGATGGCTATTTCCCACAATCTCGTAAGTATTTCCAGTTCACAGAAAAGAAAACCTGATATGCCCAGCCTCCCCAGATCACAACTGGCCAGAACTGGATTCAACTAAGGGCTGCCTGACTCCAGATTCCGAGCTTTCTGAACCCCCCAGGGCTCCGGTCCCCAACGCACCTGATGGTGTCAAGCAGGATGTCAATGAAGAAGGTATAGCTCTCAGCAGGGATGTTGCCTTTGGCCAGGAACACCTTGTTGTAGCTGCCCTCCATTAGGTACTGCAGAAACCGGGGTAGGGAAGAGGAGAGGATGAGGGAGAGGCAACCCACCCACTGAGGCTTTACCATACTTCCAGTGCCTCCGTAAGTCCCATTCTGCTACAACACCCATTCCCCGTGCAGAATGCACACCACTCTACCAGGAAGCCCTCTCTGGTTTATTTACACACACACATACATACACACATACACACTCCCAGCCTGCCCTGGGCTAGTATGTAATCATCTCACCTACACCCTCAATCACAGGAGGGAGACAGAGCTGGATGCACTGCAAACCCATTCCTCCTTTGCCCAAGCTGTGCTGCCTGCCTTAACTGCATTCTTAGGTCAAAATCCTCCCAAGAGACCTCAGCTTTAGAACTACTTCCTAACCATGGGTTCTAAGGCTTTCTCTGACTCTGCTGATCTTGTTCTAGACACACAGTCCTCTTTGCTACTCCTCAGCCACACTGGCCATGTTTCTGCCTTGGGGCTTTGGTCTGGCTGCTCTTCTACCTGGACCACTATTCCCACAGATGTCCATGTAGCTGGATTCTTCACCCTACAAGTCTTTCTCAAATTTTACCTTTTTAGCAACGCCTCCCATTATTCAAAATCCACCCCTGCTCCTGACTCTCCATCCTCCTTCCTGCTTTATTTTCCTCCATATCACTTAACATCTAGAAGACCATATAGATTACTTAATCCTTGTTTTTTGTCTGCTTCCTCACCTAGATGTCGCACTGTCAAGATTTTATCTGTTTTATTCACTGTACAGTCTGAAAACCAACCACAGTGCCTGGCACATGGCTGGGGCTCATTATTTGTTGGAAACATAAGCAAACGAGTCCACGGGCTAACAGATGGGTGAACCCTCCCCACTCCTCCAGGAAACCCTCCCCAGTGTCTGTCACTGCGCCACCCCCTTTAGCCAAGCCCTCCCCTTCCCCTTCTCCAGACTCACTTGCTCAAGGGACACAGGATGCTTGATGTACACATTGGTCTGGATGTCCTTGGCAGGCAGCCGCTCCAACTCGGTGTGGAACTCAGCCACCCGGTTCTGAGACAGCAGGAAGAGGAGGTTAAGGCCCAAGAGCTGGTGCATGTATGCTGACTCAGGGAGCTGCTCCCTGTGAACCAGGGAGAGGGAACCAAGGTAAGAAGGACTTAGGTACCTACTGAGCCCTCCATTCCAAGTTCCAGGGACCCTGATGACTATCCCATGCTGTCTCCTTGGAGAGGTAGAGTCTTGGGTTTTCAGATGAAACTCATGTCCAGAGAGGCATGAAGAAGTCACAAGTCATATGGGCCCAAGCGAGTGACTTCACTTCGGTAAAGTAACTCAGCCTCGGTTTCCCCGACTGTAAAAATGGGTATCCCCACAGTATTCATATGAGTTAAATAAATAAGGGT